AAAAGTTTCCACACATTTTTCTGATACTTTAGACTTGATTTGAACAAACATAAAGGTGTTTTCTTTTACTTTTAGTCGTCAAAAAATAACAGTGTTGGGGAGTAATAGATTACATGTACCAGAGTTACGTAATCAGAGTACAAATGATGAGTAACTGTATTCAGTTACAGTTACTGTTTCAGTGAGTGGTAATTGGATTACAGTTACTTTGTTGAAATAAATACTTTCCTGTTTTCACATTTTGGGCTGTATCCCCCCTTTTTTTTTTTTCGGTAATTCCACTCACTGCTGGAAACTAAACCAGGTCTAAACTAGATCTAAACCAGGACTAAACCAGGACTAAAACCAGGTCTAAACTAGATCTAAACCAGGACTAAACCAGGTCTAAATCAGGTCTAAAACAGGATTTAACAGGACTAAATCCTGCTGCACAGACGTGTCTCCTTCTTCTATCAGTAATATTTTTAATTTGGTTCAGTAAAGTCTGGGCTTTTTATTTTCTTTTATCAGACAAAACTTCTTATGTGAAGATTTCCTCGTCTTTGCTTCTCTACAGCAAATCAAGTAATCCAAAGTATTCAGATTACATTACTCACTTTAAGTGATTTAATACATTACGTTACAAACTACACTTTGGGGTATGTAATCTGTAATCTGTAGGGGAATACATTTTAAAAGTAAACTTCCCAACACTGGTTATGTCAAGATCCTGACTTATGCTAAATCTCTTTGGAGTTTCAAAGAATATTCAGAGTTGTGTTTCGTTTGAGTAAGAGTAGATGCTGTCTGCCTCTACAGAGCTCTAAAGTTTACGATGTTATCAAGACGTTCTCAAGTGCTCCTCCTGTTTGGAAAATGTTAAAACCACAAAGTTATGAGTTATATTAAGGAGGTGTAACGTTTTTATTAAAGGGCACGTGTTATACTTTTATTCTGATCTGTGTTATAATGTGTCAGTGTCACAAACAGACCTGGACTTGTGTTTTGTTTCATTCACACTCCACTGTGTTTTTAAGCTCCATTCACCTTCACAAGAATCATTTAGATCACTGCAGCCCTGGAACTGATTGTTCACTTGAAAACGACCCCTTCATAGCTCAATTTTGTATCACGTAGGACCTTTACACCAGGGTAATGTTCCAACAGTTCAACCGGCTTGTTCAAAAATGAAAAAGAGGTGTCTATGTCATGGCATAACCACAGGTGGGTAGTATTGAGTTACACACACGCTCTGTTACATTACCAGAGTCACTTTTTATTTGTGTACTTCTATATCTTATCACATAGTTGACTAATATGATTTTGTAGTACACTAAGTATATGTATATGTATAGGTTGTATATGTATAGGTAAAGGTTTTGGTTACTCTTTACATTCTTCGTTTATTAAAAGCTTTATATTGACCAAGAATATTTACCCTGTTTTTAATCATGGACAGTGTTGGGAGGAACGAGTTATAAAAGTAACAAATTACTGTAATGTGTTGCTTTTTGTTGTAATGCAGTAATGTGGTATTACAGGGAAAAAGTGTAATATTTTACTCGGTACAAATGTGAGTACAATGCTTTTTTAACCTGGACTTGAAGTGGTGGGTTTTTCTTCATACAAATTCACTAAAATCACAGTGATATCAACAACGCTGGAGACGCACCCGCGTAGACCATCGGGTGACCGCGAGCGAAAGGACCGGCGCAGAACTCCACGCTCCACGGGGCGAACTGCAGCTGACGCCCCATCGTGCCTTGAAGACACCCTGTTCCACAGACTCTCAGGGGCGGTCCTAGATTCCAAGTTCTAGTCCAAGATTAGTCCTGGTTTGGTCCTGGTTTAGACCTGGTTTAGACCTGGGTCAGTTCTGGTTTGAACCTGGTTCAGTCCTTGTTCAGCTCTGGTTTACTCCTGGATTAGACCTGGTTTAGACCTGGTTTAGACCTAGTTTAGTCCTGGTTCAGTCCTTGGTTCAGTCCTGGTTCAGTCCTGGTTTAGTCCTTGGTTCAGTCCTTGGTTCAGTCCTGGTTTAGTCCTGGTTTAGTCCTGGGTTCAGTCCTGGTTCAGTCCTGGTTTAGTCCTGGTTTAGTCCTGGTTTAGTCCTTGGTTCAGTCCTGGTTCAGTCCTGGTTTAGTCCTGGTTTAGTCCTGGTTAGTCCAGTCCTTGGTTCAGTCCTTGGTTTCAGTCCTGGTTTAGTCCTGGTTTAGACCTGGTTTAGTCCTAGTTTAGTCCTGGTTTAGACCTGGTTTAGACCTAGTTTAGTCCTGGTTCCAGTCCTTGGTTCAGTCCTGGTTTAGTCCTGGTTTAGTCCTGGTTCAGTCCTGGTTTAGTCCTGGTTCAGTCCTGGTTTAGTCCTGGTTTAGACCTGGTTCAGTCCTGGTTCAGTCCTGGTTTAGTCCTGGTTTAGTCCTGGTTTAGTCCTGGTTCAGTCCATATACGGTGCAAAAGTTCAGCATCTTCGCAGTTCTTTTGGTGAGAGTCACTTAAAGTGCTGCAATAGTCGTGTAATGTTTTACATTTTAAATACAGTAATATTGTAATGTAACAAATGACTTTGAAATGACAGAAACAAGTCATAAACAACACATTACAGTTTTGAAGTCACTTGCCCAACAGTGGTCATGGAAAGATATGATTTCTTCTAAACTTGATCTAAATCAGAAATGCCAAGTTATTCAGAGGATGGTGTGACACGATACAAACATTTCAAAATCAAAGGAATGATTCGATACTCAATCCTGATTCAGATGATTATTAAAAACATTCTTTCTTTAGACAATAGAATGTGATTTTCAACATTAAATCATAGTACTTTCAAGTGTGTATACAGATACTTGTTCTGGAAGGTTCAGGAAAGGTTCATTTCTGTAACTTTTTTAGTATCGATACCTCCTCAAATGAGGATCTGATTTTCAATACTTGACTTACAAATATTCCACAACATCTGGTTCCATAGACTCTTCACCACCTTAAAGGTTCTATATTACACAAAACAGACTTTTGTGAACTTTAATGCCTGACGTACACTGTGTGATATTTTCGGTCGTGTCACTCATTCCCAGCTTAAACTGTACGACCAAATCACAGGGTTTAAAAGTTCACAGCTCAAGAATCATGTTCTCACACTGTACGAACCGATGCTCAGATTTGACCTGCCTGTGCACACTGTACGATCACATAACGACCAGAGTTGTTGTTCCAGAAGAAGAAAACCACGGAATTAGAAAACCACGGACACAATGTTGATCCAGGCAAAAAACAGACGTGCTGCTTTGGCAATTTGTGCCATTCTCTGTGCAGACAAGCCCTACAAGAAGAAGTGACAAATCTGGTCAAACAAATGGCTGGGCAGACGTGGGCAGATGTGGGCAGTACGGGTTGTCAGTTCTTCAGAGGGAACTGGAGGTAGTAGCAAGTTTTCACCAATCTTCTGTTCACTCGCCGGCGCCATCATCCTCCACAACCTCATATCCTGCTTCTGCTTCTGCGTCCACACATGCTCAGTCTGACAGAATCTGGCAAATCGGCTCGTGGAACGACAGAGCGAAACCCTCACGAGAGGCGACTGGATTTCAAACAAGTTGGATTTTCTTACGACCTACGAATGCTGATCGGGAGCTGGTCGTGAGGTATTAATCTGTTTTCTTTACCCCATGTTTACTACACGAAACACGACACACGATGAAGCCAAAACTCGGCCTGATCCCAAAACAGTCACACGAGTGAAAAATCAGCTCAAAAAGGGTCAAAAATGGCACAGTGTACACCCGGCTTAAAGGCTGTACAGAGGATTTTTTTAAGGAAAGAGAAATTCAGCGATAGTCCTTGACACCACCTTCCTCCTCCACAGGTCCCTCTAGAAATAATTTAGAGACAGACACCTCAGTTTTTAGACCCTTCGTCCACTTCAGTCGCGCCATCACTGAAAGGAATCTCCAAGAATCACCTCAGTTCGTCTTCGCTCCTTTTCTCCTTCTCTTCGTCTTTCAGCGACCTCAAAAACCGACTTTCTTTTGCGGCGAACTGGTCGTGGATTCTCGTCCGACGTCGCGACAAACTTTATGCGAACTGCGAGAGAGTCACAATTAGAAAAAGCCTCTAAGAACTGCTGCATAGTTACCTTAGAAACGTAGGGAGTTTGATTGACAACCTAACAGCCAATAGAAAATGAGGCAGCCTCGTTTTCTATTGGCTGATGTTTATCTGGCCTCAACACGTCCACAGTTGATAGATTTTCTTTATTTTTTTTTTGGTCATCATAATTACAAAGCTGCTGCGTCTCTGTAATGGTATTTTAAACTTTCATTGACAATTTGAAACAAACAAAAAATCCTCCATACAACCTTTAAGTCATGTTCTAATGTTGTTCCCTCCTCAAAAACAGACCTGGAGTTGTGTTTGTTTCATCCACACATATTTGAGTAATCCTCGTGTCCTATTAGTCTGTCTACATCTCCAAAGCTCAAAATGTTCTATTCCATCTTATGATGTCATGAAGTGTTAGTTTTCAAGTTAAAAGAAGTTCATCAGAGACTGGAAATTCTAGTGCTGAAACAAAATAAATGATTGGAGTTTAAAAACGCAGTGGAGCAGATGACATCACAAGTTGGAACAGAGTGTTTTCAGTTTGAGATTAGAACTCGAGCAGGGTTTGTGTGTTAAACGTGTGAATGAAACAAAAAAACACAACTTCATGCGTGTTTTTCATTAGGAAACAAAATAACAAATAGTTTTTTTTTTAATCATGCCAACTGTTTTGTGTTCTGTTTTTCCAAATATGCAAAAGCAGAATTCACCACAATGTTTTCGAGATTAGACACACTTCTTGCACTATTTCCAAAAAGCCCAAAAGCTGTGGATTGCGCCGCGCTCAACGAACTGCTCCTCGATCCGCACGCAGCCCGTTTCGTTTGGGCGCAGGCTCATTTGAGTTGGTGAATGTTTTGTTTTGACAAAGGAAGTACAAGTGGGGGCAGTGAAAGGAGGGGCCGCGGGCTCCTGCCGAGTTTTACACACTGGTAATTAAGCGCTTTGAGTGACAGCGGCCGGGCCAAATGGCGCAGAAGGCTCCCATTGGCCGTTGCGCACTTTACAACCCGCTCTTGTTCCTCCGCGCTGCGCTCACTCGCCACTTTGAGCTGGGACGCGCACGAGAGAGCACCGCAGAGGTTTGGAGTTACCCGAGGAGGACTTAGTAGATCCGTTTAGCTTTTCAGTTGCGTTATTTTGGAGTGAAGTTTCAATTTACTTCCAAGAAAATGAGCTTCTTGCGGAGTTTGGTGACCCTGGCGCTGGTTTGTGCCTGCGCGGCGTCCGAGTACGAGTACCTGGGCTGGAGGTCGGACGCGTACAACGGGGGTCGCGGGTACGGCAAGCCCCCCCAGTGCGTGGACATACCGGACGACCTGCGCCTGTGCCACACCGTAGGCTACAACCAGATGCTGCTGCCCAACCTCCTGGAGCACGAGAGCATGGCGGAGGTGAAGCAGCAGGCGAGCAGCTGGGTACCGCTCGTGCACAAGAACTGCCACCCGGGGACCCAAGTGTTCCTGTGCTCGCTGTTCGCCCCCGTGTGCCTGGACAGACCCATCTACCCGTGCCGGTGGCTGTGCGAGGCGGTGCGCGACGGCTGCACCCCGATCATGGAGGCGTTCGGTTTCCCCTGGCCCGAGATGCTCACGTGCGACAAGTTCCCCCAGGACGACGTGTGCATCGCCATGACGCAGCCCAACGCCACCGACGCCACGAGACCGACAGGTGAGGGGGCAATTACGGCGCGCTTCGGTTCGCCGGGCAGGGGCGGTGGCGGGGCGAGGCGGGACCGACGGGGGGGCACCAATGCGGTTTGACGAAACGATGAAAACGCACTTAAACGTTCTATATTACGCATGTTACAGTGTTGTTACCTTTTTTTAGTCTCAAAATGCGAAGTTCCACCTTATGATGTCACGAAGCGGTAGTTTTCAAGTTAACATCTACTTTTTTTGACGTTTTGTTTAGTAAAGACGGGCTTTCCCGGAGCGGAAATTATCCAAATGATTTTAATGAACGTGTATGGAGTTTAAAAACACAGTGGAGCATAACTTGTAGTGTTTTCCATTTAAGAGAAGAACTAAATAGGCAGAGTTTGTGTGTTAAACTTGTACATGAAACAAAAAACAACGAAGAAAACTAACAGAAAATAGTGTAATCTGAGTCCTTTAACTCTATAAATTTAACACTTTAATGGTTAAATTGAAAGTGAAGAAATGTATTGTTTGTATATTCACAGTGATATTTGACAGACTTTTACACAATATGTTTTTATTTAAGTACATGCAACTTAAAACCACCACGTTGTGCAACAAGCGGTGTTTTTGTAACTTTTCGTTTGCAGAGTTGGCAATTGCAATTTGGAGAGTTGGACATGTGTCAGTTGTATGCGGTTAGTAATCAGAACAAGTATGATTTTTGGCACACGTTCGCAACACTAGCGTAGACGTAAGCGCTTTGAAGCAAGTACAATGCCCCCGATTGTATTAACACTGAAGGAGAATGATTAAAAAAAAATTTAATAAACAAAACAGGTTGCCAGTATTGGGCTAGATTGGCAACAAAGACAAAACATAATCTTGCCACTTAAATGAGAAAAAATAAATTAATTCAGAAGCAAATTTTCGGGTAAAAAGCGGAGCGGGCCAGATAGTAGCTGAAGGATTATTTTATTTAATTTTTTGGGTAGTTAAGTAGGCTGTATGTGCATGGTTAATAATCAGAACCAGTATGATTTTGGCTCGCTTTTGCAACACTGGGATAGTCATAAGTGCTTTGCCAGCTTTGCCAACTAGTACAAAGCCTGCGATTGTATCAACAGTGTAGAGTAACAATAAAAAGAACTGCAAATAATAAGACAGAATAGCACCAAAGCCAATCTGAAGTACATTTTGGAGTAAAAAGTGGAGCAGAGTGCATCAAGCAGTAGCAAAACAACGTCAAAAGTCACAAGTATGAGCCGAAAAAGAACAAAAGCTGTTTGTTTGTTGACCTTTTACTTAAAGCTACTACTTAAAGTCCACAACTTACATCACCGACTACATACAAACGCACACTTAGCACTGCGCAATTAGTTGCTTTAAGATAACATAAAAATTGAAGTGATCCTCTTTTATGACTGTGATGTGTGAAAAGGTGTGAATGGTGGTATAGTATTGCCATTATAAGCGCGGCAGTAAATATAACAGTAGAGTATTATGGCCATTGGGAGCTGTGGAGAGTGGGTTTTTATTGGGGTCAATGAGGCCCATTAGAGAACAGTGTTAAAGAAAGGCTCCATTCAAAAGTGTGCACGACTGCAGAGCTAAGACTTTTGTCCAGGATAGACTGCAGCTGAAGGATTATTTTATTTTATTTCATTTTATTTTATTTTATTTTATTTTATTTTATTTCATTTTATTTTATTTTATTTTATTTTGCAGGTGATTTATTTTATTTTATTTTATTTTGCAAGTGATTTATTTTATTTTGTTTTATTTTATTTATTTTATTTTATTTTATTTTATTTTATTTTACAGGTCATTATTATTATTATTATTATTATTGATTGATTGATTTTTATTTATTTATTTATAATTTTTTTAATGATAAATGCATTGGGAAATATGCCCCCAATTAGTGAGCTGATTGTACGAAATAAGCACTTGTAGTAATTTAAAATAAAAATAATGATTTGATGGATCAACATGAAATTTTTAAGTTCATATTAAGTAAATCATTATTTTTTAGTTGGTATTTGCCCTTGTTGTCACGAGTTGAAAGCATTCGGTGCAGTTTACCATTAACACATGGGTAACTACCAAAAGTTATTTTAGCCTAGTGATGCTGCTTTTCTATGGTCGCCCTTCTGGAACATTATTTATTTATTTTTTATCTAATCTTTTGGGCTTGGCTTGGATAAATACAGGCCTGTGATAATCGCTTTGTATTAGGAACGCTGCCATAAATCGGCCAGCTGATTGTACAAAATAAACATTTGTCGTAAATGAAAATGAAAATACTGCAATTTGAGCGATGTTGTCTGCGTACGAAATGTTGCATAACTAAACTGAGGCTGCCAACAGTTTCACATTTGCTAATTGTCAGTCTTGAGATCCAAAATTGTTATTGTGCACGAAGATAGTGCAGTAGCTGGCTCGCTTCTTCTTTTTTTTTTTTTTTCCAATACTGTTTTTGTATTTTGTTTTGAGAGACATTTGCCAAAACAAAGCAACTTTCACAGTTAGTTTATTGAGTTTATCGTACTTAACAGATTATAATTTCCGTAAATTTTAAGCAATATTATGTTTTAAAACAAGTCACAGTAGCATAGTGTTTTACCTTATCACAACTTTTTCTGTTCATTCTGTATTTTATTGACTAGACACTTTAAATGAGTTCAAATCATAAAGTGTTGTTCAAAAAAGTCAGTTGAATGCATTTAAATATGTTCATGCAAGTACCCTGCACAAAACGTTTGGGGTAGTACTAATTGTTTAGTGTCAGTAAACAGTATACTAAGTAGTTCATTAGATTCCTGTTAGAATTTATACACTATTTGTTAATGTGTTTTTAAAGTACCCCATTAATCTTTTAATTACTGTTTACTAGCATAATTAGCAATCGCAATTAACACGTGATCCCGAAAGTAGGTCAAATTAGGTTGGGTTTTTTGCCATTTGTAGTTAAAAACATTGGAAAAACATGCGCGAAAGGCTCAAAGTGCACCTTGAGACATTAAAACACAATGGAAATGTGTAGATTTTTATATAAATGTCTTTTTTTTCTATTTTAGTGATTCAAGTTAACTGGACTTACATTTTTTAAGTAGGTAAAACCATTGGAAAAACATGTACGAAAGGCTCAAATTGCACCATGAGACAAAAAAAAAAAAAAAGTTGATTTTTATTATATTAAGTGTCATTTTCTTCTATTTGAGTGATTCAAGTTAACTGAAGTTACATTTTTAAAGTTGTTAAAACATTGGAAAAACATTTGCGAAAGACTCAAAGTGCACCATGAGACATTAAAACACAATGGGAATGTGTAGATTTTTATATAAATGTCTTTTTTTCTATTTGAGTGATTCAAGTTAACTGGACTTACATTTTTTAAGTTGTTAAAAACATTGGATAAACGTGTGAAAAGCTCAAAGTGCACCATGAGACATAAAACACGAAAAAAAAGTAGGTTTTTATTTAAATGTCATCTGTTTTCTATCTGAGTGATTCAAGTAACTGGACTTACATTTTTTAAGTTGTTAAAAACATTGAAAAAAACTGTTGCGAGAGGCTCTAAGTGCGCCATGAGACATAAAAAAAAAAAAAAAATTATAGATTTAAATGTCATCTTTTTGTTCTTTTTATGTGATTCAACATTGTTCAAGTAGTTAAAAACTGCAAAAAACATGTACGAAACGCTCAAAGTGCACCATGAGACAAAAAAAAAAAAAAAAAAAAAGTAAATTTTTATTTAAATGTTTTGAAAAATTTGAAAAATGTTTGCAAAAGACTCAAAGTGCACCATGAGACATTTAAAACACAATGGGAATGTGTAGATTTTTATATAAATGTCTTTTTTTTTATTTGAGTGAGAGTTAATTGGACATAAATTTTTTTAAGAAGTTAAAACATTGGAAAAAACATTTGTGAAACTCTCAAAGTGCACCATGAGACACAAAAAAACAACAACACAAATGTGTACATTTTTATTTCAGGGTCATCTTTTTTCTATTTGAGTGATTCAAGTAACTGGGCTTAAATAGTTTAAGTAGTTAAAAACAGGAAAAAGTATGTACGAAAGGCTCAAAGTGCACCATGAGACAAAAAAAAAATAAATAAATAAAGAAATATTTGAGTGATTCAAGTTAACTGAACTTAGATGTTTTAAGTTGTTAAAACATTTGAAAAATGTTTGCAAAAGGCAAAAGTGCACCATGAGACACTAAAACACAATGGAAATGTGTAGATTTTTATATAAATGTCTTTTTTTTTAAATATTTGAGTGATTCAAGTAACTAAACTTACATTTTTTAAGTAGAACAAGTTAACATTGTTAGTTTGGATCAACATAAACTAATGAGAACAAGTAGCTCATACACTTCTGAGTCTATTTTGTCATTTGCTGAAAGTTATCATGAGTTCAAAAGTGTTGTCAACTTCCGCGCATAGTTTACACAACTAGCTAGCAAACATTCTCTTAGCCTCGGGACGTTGCTTTTCCTGCGCTAGCCCTTTTGGACCAGTTGTTGTTTTAGCTGATGGTTTTTCGGAGCAGTGATTTGACTCGGCAAAGCAAACAGGCCTGTCTTTTAATGGGTGTCGAGTTCCACACCTGTGATGTAGATGTGGGGTTTGCCGTGTTGTTTCAGAGGGCTAAAAACGCCAACAAAAAGAGTCAGGAGGAACCTTTTGGGAGGAAATCCAGACGTGAAAGTCCTGCCCATCTACGCGGTCACACTTGAGGATCTGATCTGCTCCACTGGTGTCAAAAGCAGGTCAAAGGTCAAACGCTCAGGGCTAGGAGATGAGGAGATGAGGATACATGGAAAAAGTAATTGGTACATTTGATTTCATTTGATCGAGATGGAGATTTAGTCAAGTCTAATGTTCAGTGATCAGATTGGAGAAGTCTCCAGCCAGTCTTCTGTCACTAAAAGCATGTGGTTTGGAGCAGACTGAACACTTAAGATGAATAAATTGGGCCTGACTGTTCTGGTAATGTTCATGAAATCAATACCGAAAACC